TCCGCACCTAGACTGCTGTTTTTTTTTTTAAAGCAGTAGCCATGTTTATGCTAATGAGGCACAGGTTATTTAAATCCCTGCTTCATTAGCAATTTCAATGTACCTAATCTACATCTCTCTGTCGACAGAGAGGTGTAGTCTAGACAAACCCTGGATGTCCATTATCAGTAAGACAGGGCAAAAATTATTCCAGTGGTGCTGTATAGTTGTCACTAGATATAGTCCTGCTTTTTCCTTATAAACAGTGTACAGCGTGCATAGTGGCTGATATAGAAAAAATATTAAGTAGATTAACTGAACAGTGTGCTTCTTTTCCCATTGTCCATCTCCACAGCTTTCTCCCTCACACCAGATGCCAAGTTTAAGAATGAACAGATCAGAGGATTTGTCTGCTGTATTTTCCCAGACACTGAACAGGCACTAGAACAAATTAACAACGATGTCCAGGCAACTTAACCCATTTGTAAAGGCTATTTCATATATCAGTCTACACATACCTTTTAAACTCTCCAGGTATGCCCATCTCTGCACATGCTTCTGGCTTTCTACCTTACATCGCTTATGAATCACTGATTACATCAGGATAATTTCATTGGTTATACTTCCAATATTAGACAGTAAGGACCGATTTCCAAAGATGTTTAGATGCCTAAAGATACAGATAGGTGCTATGCAAAATTTTAAAGGTGCCTGAGTGTCTAACTCCCATTTCAATCAATGGGGTTTAGGTGCTTTTGAAAATTGAAGTAGGTGTCTATATCCATAGGCACCTAAATGCTGATTCTCCACTCAGTCATGCCCATTTTACAGAGGCTTCTTTGGAGTTACACCGCAGTAAGAGAGCTGAGAATTAAGCCCTAATAAATTCAGCTGACTTATATTCCTCATTTGTAAAATCACCCCATTATTGAAAATACTGTTGTCAGTAGAACACTCACAAAGGCTCATATAATCACCATTTAATTAGCCCTGCTTCATGTTATATTTGCTTATTTTACTGTTAACTTTCTCAGAGCTATAATTTTTTCCCCTTTTACAATTAGAACAGCTGAATTTTAATTACATTACCAACAAAAAGCTCATTAACATCACTTAATTGGTAGTGTTTCCAAAAAAACCTTAACTGAACTGAATATTTTCTCAAGAGTTCCCATCAAAGTATAATTTAACCATTACAAACAGCTTGGCAACAACATTTACATAAAGATTTATCTGTCTCTGGAGAATGTTTTTAAATGAGGAAGATCAGATATGTTGTTGCCATCCACAGAACAAAGGGGGTTTTTATACAGCAGGTTATTTCCACCTTTTAACTCCATTGAACAAATCCTGTATTTTTGTCATTTTGGTCAAATTAAGGCCTTTGATTTTCCACAAAGAAATGTAAACGAATAGTAGATGGTACTAGAAAAAAGCTTTACCTGTGGGAGGGTTATTCCATAACTGACTACTTCAGGATTTCTTGCACTTCTCCTCTAAAGCATCATGAACTGGCTAGTGTCAAAGACAAGAAAAGCTGTATACAATGGAGCCTGAATCTGAAACAGTATGGTAACTTCTGTGCAAAAATGATCACAGAATCACTTTGTTTGCACTGGGCCTCTAGTAAAATATCTTGTCCATTTGCCTTCATCATGGCAGGATTGATTTAATTCACAAATCCTCCGTGTTAGATGAATGTTTAGCCTAGGGCTCAAATGTCCCCTCTGACAGCACTTTCAAAGCCACTCTCAGCATCTCTTTTCCAGGTGCCTTGTATTGTGATTGCTGTTTGTTTATTCACATTATGGAAGTGCTGAAGGATCCCAAAGATAAACAATGAACCCACTGAGCTAGGCTATGTAAAAACTCATAACAGAAAGACCTGCCAAATGGGTAATACGGTACTGACCTCACCCTTGCCAGGAAGCATGAATGTAGAGTTTCCTTCTTTATCTTCTGCCCATTATTCCATATTCTGTACTCATGAACAAGCAATGACTATCATCTTTATAACATCATTTTGTGAATCTGTAGATAAATGTGTTATTCTTCTAGCTTCCCTTTGCCAAGTTCACTCTACTTTTCCTCTCAGTCCATTTTTCATATCTTTATTTAGTTGATTTCTGAAAATCCTCTAGAACTTGACTAGACCTGTTTTGAAGGGTGACGTGATGCTTTCCACATCTGCATTTTGCACCTTGTAAAATGACTCTTCCCAAGCAGCATCCCCTAAAACATTGGAGAATGAATCAGGGCCCAAAATGTTTAGGGTCACTACAAGACAATATCAATTATATTGACTTCAGTGGAGTTGCACCAGTGACCTTGGAAACTCCCTGCTGCAGTTCCCCATCTGTAAAATGGGAGCCCCAGAGAAGTGTTAGGTATTACCAGGACAGAACTGTCCTTTGAAATTTCATGAAAGGATGCCTTTGCCTCCAATTTCATCACTGAATACATGCAGTATAACACAGCAAGTTCTGGATAAAGATGGAAACAATTGTTGGGATTCAATAACTGTGCTGACTCTATACCTTCTACCCCTTAACATGAACCCAAACAAAAAGTTGGTTTGAGATTCAAAAGGTGTGATACACTTAGAAATTTAAGCATCTGTGGATATTTTCATATCTGCCTATTCAAAGACCAGAAACACCAAGGGTACGTCTACACTGCAGCGCTAATTCAAACTAACTTAGTTCGAAATGGTTAATTCGAACTAAGCTAATTCGAACTAACGCGTCTAGAACTAAAAACTAATTCGAATTAGCGTTTTGCTAATTCGAACTAGCAAGTCCACATTGAGTGGACCCTGAACAGGGCTTAAGGATGGCCGGAAGCAGTGCCGGCAGGGCATCAGAGGAGGACTTAGAGCGTGGAGATGCTGTCTCAGGCTAGCCGAGGGCTGCGCTTAAAGGGTCCCGACCCCCACCCCGGACACACAGTTCTAAGGGGTGCCCCGCTTGCAAAGAAGTTATGGCTTGGAGTGCCCTGAGTGCTCACACTGGGCACATCACACCACTCGGCCATCAGCCCGGCTGCACTTGCCGCAGGCTGCCATCTGGGGAGAGGGAGTAATTGGGGGGCTGCAGGAGAGCTTCCACCCCCAGAAGCCCGCAGAGCCAGCCCAGTCCTCCCCATCGGGGGCTCGTACCCCATTCCTCCCTCACCTCCTTCCACTTACCCTTCCCTAGCCCCCCTTCTTATTGATGTACAAAATAAAGATAACGTTTCTTCCAACATTGACTCTGTCTTTATTGAACAAAACTGGGGGAGACTGGGAAAAGGAGGTGGGAGAGGGGAAGAGAAAGGCTGGGAGAGGGGAGGGCAACTAACATGATCAGGGGTTGGGAACAGGCCCCAGATGAAGAGAGGCTACAGAGACTGGGACTGTTCAGCTTAGAAAAGAGGAGACGGAGGGGGGACAGGATAGAGGTCTCTAAAAGCAGGGGTTGGAT